CATGCCACGGCCTCGCCATCATCACCCCCCCCCCCCGCCCGCCGCCACCACCCGCCACCATCACCCACCCACCCACCACCACCACCCGCCACCACCCGCTATCCACCACCCACCTGCCACCACCATCCACCCATCCGTCACCACTTTCCACCACCGTCTTCCGCCGCCACCACCACCTGCCACTTGCCACCACTTTCCACTACCGTCTTCCGCTACCACCACCCACCCGCCACTTGCCACCACTTTCCATCACCGTCTTCTGCCACTATCACCCACCACCTGTTACCATTTTCCACCACCGTCTTCCACCACCATCACCCTCCATCATTTTTCACCACTGTTTTCTGCCGCCACTACTCGTCACCACCCACCACCCACCACCACTTGCCATTTCTCACTCTTTTTTATATTTTTAAATTTTTTTAAACATTTTGTGTAAACCAAACGTGTTTGTAGTTTATGTTTTTCTAAAAATAAACAAAAACCAGTTTATAAAATTTTTATAAATATAAATTGAAAACGTAAATGTTACCAAACAAGCCTTAAGTTAATCTTCAATAGAATGATAAAAACCTTTTAAAATTGTTTGGAAAATACTTTTGAATGGACCAAAAGCCGCTGTAACTTCTCATAAATTGACTTGTGAACTACAATTTAATAAGTAATGTTAGGATTTTTTTTTCAAAAATGCTAGAGGTTCCAAAAATTCTACTAAAAATTTTACCAAATGTCTCACATGGGTGTGGGACCCACATGGGACCCACATTGTGTGGGTCCCACGCTCATGTGAGACATTTGGTAAAACTTTTGATAGAATATTTGGGATCTCTAGTGTTACTCCTTTTTTTTTATGCTTTCTATTACATATTTGTAATGGAGAATTTTCATTACGTATTTAATAGCTATCTCCATTATAAATATGTAGTGGAGTGGATCACAATCCATAATTTTACATGATTCAATATAAAATATTTATTGCAAATTATTTGCTAATTTTTATGCACGTAAGGAAATTTGCGAAACATTTTGAATGAAAATATTTTACATATAATAAAAACGTGCCTAAATGTTAGATACCTACACAACATTCACGAGGCTTTAATATTAGCAATATTTTTTCTTTGATAGATCTCTAGTGTCATGATATTGTAAAAGTGATGGTGAAATCTATTAATTATTAAAAAAATTCTTATCGAAAGGGGTAATAAATAAATAAATAAGTAAAAAATGCACTTCCGTAATTCCCTTTTTTTTTTTCTTCATCCCCTAAATTTTTTTCGCCTTCACAATAATTTAATTGTACTAAAAATCATAATTTCTTATACATCATAAATAATGAATATAAATATATCATATAGAACAATTCATAGATATAAATAAAAAGTATAAATGGAATTAGAAGAGACACATAATTAAAGGTTAGAAGAGTGGCAAAAAATGAAATTCAAGAGAATGGAACGAAAATAAAATAAAAAGAATATGTGGCGTAATATTGAAGAGCTAGAAATGATATATGGAGGGTTTTTTTAAATATGCTAGTATATGTACACTATTTTACTTATATATATATGTACACTATTTTACTTATATATATATATAATATGATGGAAAATGTGAAAATTCGTAGTTTCTCATG